GTTGAGCTATAACTCACACCACAACATTCACCACTTAAAGCTTTTGGTTTTGATGAAGTCCGTCTGTCTGGGGTTTATTTAGCTGCTCGTGCTCTCGGTGTCCCATCTAAGGAATCGTTGCCTAATCCCAGGTCATTCTGCAATGCTTTCTTCTAAGAGTCTATAGTTTTAATTCATACTCGCAGGTCTTTGGCCCGTTCTGAGCTGATGTCTAAAGATGGTGTGAGGGAGGGGTCCTCACGGGGACATCCCAGCACCATCCGTCGGAGCGAGGGCCCTTGTCAGAACCCGCTGACCGTGGGTGGAGGGGTCCCCCCTCGGCCCCAGCTCTGCCCCTTGCCCTGCGTGTCTGTGCCAATCCACTACTGTGGCTTCAGAGCCGAGATGTGGGAGTCACTGACTGCTTTTTGAGTGGACCTGGCCCCTCCTTCCCTCTCGCCTCTGGACGGGACTAGCCGGACCTGGAGTCAGGCGGGCTGGGGAGACGGCCGCAGAACTCGGTTATATCGGCTTCATCTCTGACCTCCGTTCTTTGTCCTAGAAGCTCACTCCTCACAAACACACCTGTCTCCCGTGGACTTAGTGGCATTTCAGGAGTGGTGAGAACCCAGGGCTGCCGAGCCTGAAGCCCGTGGAGGGAACAGCCCAGGACCAGGAGAGGGCCGCTGCAGGAGGCCAGCCCGTGGTCCTGCAGCAGGGGACAGAGCAGAAGCATGAGTACAGCCTGTGATGCCAGCTGCTGGGCCGGGAGCCCTGCCTGGAGTCTGGGGCCCACGCTGTGAATGCCCCATTTCTCCACCGCTCAGTGTCCACACTCCCCACGCCACCCCGCGGGGCCCTGACACCCTCGTCCTCTTCCCCCGCCCAGGTTCCCCATGAGCTCTTCTCCACCCTGCTGGCCTACCTGGAGGGGCTCAGGGGCCACGCCCGGGAGCTGACGGTGCAGAAGGCGGAAGCCCTGATGCGGGAGGTGGACGAGGCCAGCGGTGCGGACCCCCTCCCACCGGGGAAGACCCAGCGCATCCGGCAGGTGCTGCAGCTTCTCTCCTAGGGGCCCAGTGGGCCGCTGCTGCCGCCCAGGACTCAGCTGACCGCCGCCTTCCAGCGGCGGGGCCCCAACGAGGGGCAGGCGGGGCTACCAGCAGGTCAGCGGCCAGTGGGCCTGTGGTGCCTGACCCTTGGAAGGACTGTGGCCAGACTGTTCATAGATGGTGACGTGTCTTCGTCCCTTTACAGCAGAAAGTGGCCACTCTGACGTACCCTCCTGGCCTCCCAGTGGCCCTCAAGCCCCCAGGGAGCTTGCTTATTGAGAGAAAGGTCTATTTTCCTACGGGGAATGTCGTAGAGATTGACCAGAGCCAGCCCTCCCCTCCAGCTGTGGTCCGTCCTCGATGGGGGGTGAGGGGAGCCCCTCTGGAGCCGGCCACCCGCATCCGGGTCACCTGCCTGCGTTCCCTGGTGGGTCCAGGCCGTGGCTCGCCCATCCCTCACCTCCCTCCTGGGGCCTCCTGGGGCCTCGCTGACCAGTCCTGGGGAACACCTCGCTGCATTTTCAATAAAACCAGCCCGTGTCGGCCGTGGCCCTTTTTCCGTGCATCCCATTCTCGTTTGCCTGTCCTGACTGCCAAGAGCTTGTCCTGAGAGTGAGCGTGCGTCGGGCCGGAGCCAAGGCCCCTGGGACAGCATCCCGGCAAGCTCCGTGTGGTGCTCCTGCCTGTTGGCGCTGAGCACTTGGTCTGTGGGCCTGCTGTCGGCAGGTGTTGGCAGTGACCACATTGGCTGCCCTCCCACGGCCGTCCCAGCCAGGAAGTAGGCTCACTGCCTGCAGAAACGCCAGACCTGCTCTCCCTGTTCCCAGAAGAGCGCGCGTGTCAAACCCCTGGAAGTCCCTCTGGGTGCGGTGGCCCATGTCTCCCCCACCCACAGGAAGAGTGGGCAGGCCCTTCAGGAGGCCCTGTGCTTCCCGGGACCCGTGGAGAATGACACGGTGGCGGCTATGTGCGGTGGTCTTAAAACTTGTCCACCGCGGCTTTGACGCTCCACCGCTGGGGCGTGGGTCAGCTTCCAGCATGGGATGAAGCAGATGAGACGCCGTGCGGCCCCTGGGGCGAGGGCAGGAGGAGGATGGAGCTGGCGCCCGTGGGACGCTTGCCCTTGGGAATTGGCACATGACGTGGGAAGCCCCTGTCACGTGGGGAGGCCACATGGGGGGCCATGAGGGGTGCTCAGGTGATGGCGAGTCTTCGGAGGGCGGCTGCCCCAGGTGACGCTGAATGAACCCACTGAGTCTTGCCCGCGTTGCAGGTTTGTAAACCCTACTGCTGGGGTGCGTGAAGTAGATAACCAGAGCGCCACGAAGCGGTGTAAAGTGACTCGCTTATATTGTGTGTCACGGTGCTTAACAGAGTCACGGGCTCCAGGCCTGTGTGTAGACCCCTTACTCCGGGAGAAGCCTGGGACCGGCCGTGCTCCCCGGAGGCGTCCCCACCTCAGGTTTTGCACGGACTTCAGCTTCAGTCACCATGGAGCACCCGGGCCCAGGAGTGGCCCACTCATCCAGAGGGGCCTGGGCTGGTCCATGGGGCCCCCCTCTTCTCACCCGTAACCCAGACCCCTGGGCTCTAGGGTCACGCTGCCCCACCTCCCGCCCGACACCCGCAGCTCGGCGGCAGCCCCCATGGAAAGGGGACGTGCCCCACCACTCCCCGGGGGCATTTGGCCCTGCCCCCACCCACTGTGCAGCTGGAATCCCGGTCACACGCACGAGCACGCGTCCAGTTCTGGGTGGGAGCAACTGGCCCGACCCCTCTTTGGCCCAGGTGGCTTTGGAGACAGATGAGAAGTCCTGCCCGCCCGGTATCCATCAGGTGAGGACTCGAGCAGGGAAGCACGTTGGAAGCACACGTCAGTGCAGGTCTGTGAGTGCATCAACAGACCAGTGTGTGGGCATCACGGCCTCACTGTGCCCAAGCTCGGAGGTGTCCTGGAAATGACACTGAAAACTAGACGTACAAAGAAAAACCCATAGCTACAAAGAAAGGGCAGTTTTTTGGTTTTTTTTTTTAAGGAATCAGGTTGATTAAGAACCACAGCTCTGGGTTTCCTGGCAGCCAAGTTGAAAAGGGAAATGTGATGGGTTCCGAGTCCTCATTGTTACTGGATACAGTGGAGAGAGCAGGGCACTCCCCAATACCAGATGGGGGGCTCTTTCCTCCCTAAGAGCTCCTCTCGGAGCATGAAGTGCTATTCCCTCGAGGTCCCCCTGGCGGAAGGTGCAGAGGGACGTGACACATGTCACCTGGACAAAGCTGTCAAGAGACATACTCAGTGTGGGACCAACCAGCCTCAGTTGCTGGGGGTGCCGGTCGGAGATGGCCCTCTGATGAGGCCCCAGGGACAGTGAGGTGGGAGCACCTGCGCCTGGGGCCAAGCCACAGTGAGGGGTGCCTAGGGGCTGTCTGCGTGGGGCCACCAGGCCAGGAAACGTCTTGATGGTGGCTGGTGATTTCCCACACTGCAAACAACCCAGATGTCCGTCAGTAGCCGAACAGGAAACCGAAGTGAACAGCACTCACCAGTAAAAGGGAAGAAGCGTGGATACAGGCCACAGAGTGGCACTGGGCGGGGGACGGCGGACCACAAGGGCACACCGTTGACACCACTCGAACGACATCCTCGAGACGGCCGGCCAGCTCATCTGCGGTGACAGAACCCCCAGGGCAGGGGCCGGGTGGGCGCTCAGGTGCCAACGTGGCCTGCGGCTACGCGGCATGTGCAGGTGGGACACGTGCTCAAGCTCCTTGTTCGTGACACCCCAGCGGGAGCAGAGACAAGCCTCGCGGGGCAGAGCTCCCGGCAAAGCACTGGGCTCTGGAAAGAACGCGGTAAAACGGGTTTGTTGGCGCCTTAGTGTCTGTTCTCCGCGAAGTTCTACGCGTCCATCACGTAGATAGTCTCAAGCACTGTTAAAACGGAATGGGCGATGGGGCGACAGGACTTTGGGGTGGGGGTGTCAGACCCAGCAGGCCCGTCAGCACCACCAACAGCCGTCCACGGCCCCTGCCCCACCCTCCGAGGAAGCAGCCTTCCTCAGCGGGCTTCCCGTACGTCCGGGGAAACATGGCTCAGGTTCTCCTGACCTCCTATGGTGAGAACTGGGGACTAGCTACCGAGTGGCCCCCCTCACCAAGCTTTCCCTCCCTGGGGCCCCCAGGAGAGCTGTGTCTGTGTTCAGATAAACCAGCGCTAATCCAGTAGGAAGGTCCCTGGCAGCAGGCGGGAGACTTAGGGCCAGAGGGGCTTCCGGATGTTAGGTGGCCACAGAACCAGGACCCCTGCCCCCAGGACGCACTCTCAGCCCCTCGTGTGTCTGCCTCTGAGGGTGGGCGTCCCTGCCGCCCTGGACCACAGTCACATCTGGGGCCAAGAGCCGCCCGCCAGCTCCCAGAGGCTCTTCCCTCACAAGCAAGAGGCAGGGGAGCTGCGGCTGTAGAAACCAACATTCAGGGAGGCTGTCTGCCCTTCCTGACCCACAGTGTCTAAGGACCCCTGATGGATGATGTCCGCAGAGGCCTCTCCCCAAGACCGTGCAGCCTGGAGGCTGAGCTTACTGGAGGTGCAGCTGGCAAGAAACAGGACCCCAGACTTGGAAGTGTCCATCACGGATGATGGACGAACACAGTGTGGTCTGTCCACACCACGGGGTATGAGCTGGCCTTCTAAAGGAATGATCCCTGCCCCCACAGGGACGAGCCCCGAGGACACAAGCCAGACACGGAAGGACACGCACGGGGACCCCACTCGCACGAGGTCCCGGAGTCATCAGACTCATGGACACAGAGGGTAGACGGCGGAGCCGGGCCTGGGGGAGCAGGTGGGGGTCCGTGCGTCACGGGGACAGGGTCTCTGTGTGCGGGATGGAACGTTCTAGAACCGGACAGGGGGCTGGCTGCACGGCAGCTGGATGCGTTCGGTGCCATTGAATTATACACTGAAATTGGTTAAGATGGTCAATTTTGTGTATGTTTTACCACAGGGAAAATACAAAGCAAAAGAGCTAGGGTACGCGGCAGAGGTGACCGGCGAGCCGTCCGCCACATGGTGGAGCCCTCACTCCCCGCCCCCATCGTGGGGAGTCTCTGTGCACCTGGTCAGGGCAGGAGCCGGTGGGTGGGCGAGCCCCCTTTGTGGCCCCAGGCCGGGGTGTCCATGTGATCACTGAGCTGGGCCTGGTGTGGGGGGCATCCAGGGCGGCCACGGAGACGGGTGTGTTCCATAGTTGTGCTGATGATCTCGTGGGTCAGACATCAGACTCAGCACATTGCGCTCTTTCAGCGAATAATATGCTTATTTTGTGCCAACTCCATAAGGAGGGCGGGGAGAAGGGAACGATACTCCCCAGACAGTCCCCACACGGCGGCCTTGGCTCTCCTGGGCCCTGCCCCAGGTCACAGCACCTGGCGGGTTCACCGTGGTGGGGGGGTCCCCTGCAGAGGCCCTGCGTGCCTCCCGAGCCCTGGATCAGGCTGGGCAAGGGTCCCGCACATACCAGCCCTGTGCCCAGCCCACCTCAGATCTGCATCTGGACGGGGCCTGAGGGAGCCAAGCCGCGGGCACCTGGTGTCGGGGCCCCGGGAGGCTCCCGTCATGAACCAGGAGGGCACTAAAGTCAACACGGGGATCTCCCGCCTGACACCCAGCCAGATCCGCCGCGTCCTCCGTCGGAGCCCCCCGCCCCGGGGAGGGGCCCAGAGCAGCGTGTTTGTGGAGTGCTTTCCAGCAGGACCTACACCTTCCCACCTGGCGGAAAGACTGCTCAGATTTGTTCTTGGCAGATTAAAACATCAACTAACGCTATTGGCTTCTGTGGAGAAAACTTAAGTTGCCCGGGAAAGTGGTTCATTTTGACGCCTGTTCTTGTAAGTTAGGAAACATGCGGCTCAGGCTCTGCGTCCCGCCCCCGCCTGAAGCCGACTGACCTGGAAGGTGCCGCGGACCCCTCTCCTACGCGGGGAGCGGCTTCTGGAAACGGGGTCCGGGCAGCACTAGGTTTACCACGATGCTCGCGTCCCCGTTCTGGTTTTCCACGTCCTCCCAGCAAGCCTGCCCTGAGCAGCCCAGGCTCTCCCACCCACAGCTTCTTGAAAGGGTTTCCACAGCCATTCCAGAATGTTCTGTGATGCTCTGAAGGATGCTCTCGTTCATTCACGGAGATGAACTTAGGTGAGATCCATGCTGTTCGAACCGTGTGACCGTGGACAGTAAAGCGGCCCGGCCCTGCAGGGGGGCTCCCAGCCCCTCCCTCAGTGTCAGATGTGGCAGACAGACAGAAGGAATGCAACGACAGAACATGCCCCTCACCCACCACCCAGCTTTTCCCAGAAGCGAAGTATACGGGCCCCTCCCCAGAGTAACCCCTTTCCCCCGTAGGGGCCCAGCATGGGCAGTGGCACATCCAGAAGCGCCCGTTTCCACCGCCCTGCGCAGGGTCACGGAGAGACTCGCCCCTGCTGCCCACCCCTGGACACTGTTCATGGGTGGGGACACACCCCGATCCTTATCCTTTCTCCTGTGGGGAGCACTCTGCGTGCACTTGGGCCTCAGGGACCCCCTTCTGCAGCTGCCCCGGGAATTGTCCGGATCACTGGTTTACCGTGATGTCCCATCATCATGTCCTCGCCTGGCCCTCCACCTGTCCACCAGCCCTGCCTCAGAGGGGATTCGTCCTCCCACACAGACACACTTTTGAATTTAAAAAGCCAAGGCTTCAGTGTTGGGAAGGGTTGAGGGGCAGACGAGAAATTGGGGGGTCAGAAGGGACCAGAGAGAAGGCTCTGGGGTGTGGCAACTGGTCGAGAGGCTGCCTCACTTCTGAGAGCCCCCTGCCGGAGGTGTGGAGCCTGGGCCAGGGGAGGGCGGCCGGGATGGCCCAGAGCCACCATGCGGCCAGGACAGGGCCAACCCGACCCCGCCAGGCTCCCAGGCCACCAATGGGTCGCCAGATACAGGACAGGACACCAGATAACGGGAAGTGAGTCAGTGTGGGGGTGGCCCGTGGAGGCCCATGCTGGAGGGCTTCCCGCGGTGCACCCCTGACCTGGCGTCTCTGGGCCCTGTCAGCAACAGCCCCCTGCCCAGAGGCCCCCACCTAGAGGCCTTGGTACATCTTGGGCATGGGGGAGATCGGAAGCTGGGCCTTGGGGTCTGTGTCCCCACTTGCTTCTGGGTCCTGTGAGGTTGACGGGGTCAAGCGCGAGGGGGCCCCAGCGTCCTCCCTACAAACTCCCACTCATCTTTCCTGCTCAGGCTCTGCTGTCACCCCTGCAGGGTCCCCGATCCTCTGGTGGCAGCTATCCCTCGCCTGGTCCTGGCTCCACGGGCAGAGCGCCTCCGGGACATGGCTGCCCACGAGCTGCCGGAACAGGGTGGGGTCTGCAGGAGACCCGGCGGTCCAGGGCCTGGCACGGTGCAGACTGAGCGTGCTGGGAACACAGGTCTCAGGCTGGCCTCTGGGTGGACGTCACCCCGCACCCCCAGCTGCAGGTGGCACCTCTGTGCCTGGCCAACGCTGGCCCTGTGGGGAACTGGAGGGGGGCAGCATGGAGGGGGAGTGGGGAGAAGAGGCCGTGGGGAGCCCAGGGAGGCATGCATGGGGGTGTGGGGAGGGGGTGCATCACCACTAGGGCGTGAGGGGCACCCTGAGGTATGGGTGGGGGGCCTGGGTGCAGACTGAGGCAGCACTGATGCCCAAGGGGTCTGGGGACAGAGGGCAGAGCGCAGGGAGCTCAGGGCGGGGAGGGGGCCCCAGCTGCCCTGGGGAGACTGGAGGACAAGGGGTAGAGACACCTCTGGGCAAGGGGAACTGGAAGGGGGCTGAGCCCCCGAAAGAACAGGATCTGGCCCAGGAGGGGCTTTGGGGAACCACAGCAAAGAGCCCAGCAAGGGCTCCCATGAGGGGCTTTCTGTCTGTCCATCCATTTGTCCTGCCTCCATCCTCCACAGAGCACCCCAAGCTGGGACCTGGGGGAGTGACTCAGACCCTCCCCAGGTCTCCTTGGTCAGAGCCCTTGGGCCTGGGCACTGCACAGAGGGCCTGGGCTGGCGGCCGCATGGTGAAGGCCGGGGCGGGAGTGGTGTCCAGGGCCGCAGGGCTGAGGCCGGGGGGGGGCAGCAGGTGGTATCTGTGGAGGAGGCCAGCGAAAAGCAGGAACAGCTCCGACCTGGCCAAGCTCTCCCCCACACAGACGCGGCGGCCTGCAGAGGAAACCGAGGCACAGGGTGGGGGCTCCAGACCTGCTCTTTGCAGGGCTGTGCCAGGGAACCCGGCCAGTTTCCTGGAGTGGAGGGAAAGGGGAGTCTCTGGAGGGACGAGGGAGGGCCTGGAGTGGGGGGCGATCTGAGAGCAAGGTCTGCAGCAACTGGGATGCGGGCCAGCTCTGAGGGGCAGAGACCGGTTGCCAGAGGCTGTGGACAGTGGGGGGCCCAGCAGGCTTGAGCCTGAGCTTCCGAGGTCCCTGGTGACCAGGCCACTTGGGGTGAGGGGCCCCGTGCTGTCCCCACCCGTGAGGGCTGTGGGTACCTGCAGAGAAGGGCAGGAAGGCTGCCCGCTTCACAAAGCGCCCCTCAGCGTCCAGGAAGTGGCCCGGGTTGAACTGGTGGGGCGTCTCCCACTGTGTCTTGTCCAGGAGCACAGAGCTCAGCAGGGGGATCACAGGTGTGCCCTGTGGGCGGGGCAGCAGGTGGGCTGGGCCTGGCACCCCCTTCCCCCAGGGTGTGCACTGAGAGAGAAGGTCCCCCCAGGAGGCCAGCCGGGCCCACCCTGACCCAGAGCAGAAAGAAGGAGGGAGGGAAGGGGGAGAGAAGGAGGCGGGAAGGGGGAGGGAGGGCCCTGCCCACCCTGTCAGGGTCCAGGAGGGGGGTGCCCACCTTGGGGAGCAGGTAGCCGCCCAGCTGGGTGTCAGCCGCCATGCACCGTGGCACGTGGGGCAGGAGGGTAATGAACCGCTGGACCTCGTGCAGCACAGCGTTGGTGTAGGGCAGGGACCGCTGGTCCTCCAGGCAGGGGTGCCGTCGGGGCCCCAGCACGCGGTCCAGCTCCTCCTGCAGCCGACCTGTGGGTGAGAGCGTGGGTGCCAGCATCCCTGGGAGCCTGCATCCCCTAGGCCCAGGCGGACCCCCACCCACCCGGCAGGTGGCCGTGTGCTGGGAAGACAGGCTAGGAGCTCACCTTGCACACTCGGGTGCTTGCCCATCAGGAGGGCAGCCCACTGCAACGTGGCTGACGTGGTCTCTGTACCAGCCATGACCATGTCCAGGGCACAGGCCACCATGTTGGCCTCGGCAAACAGGCCTTGGGGGTCATTCCCCTGCAGAGGCGGGTTGGATGGGACTCGGCTGGAGGCAGGGTTCCATGGACCACCCGGGCCACCCCCACCCTCCAACCCAGCTCTGGGCTCAAGAAAGGGATAGAAAACAGAGCCTTGGCGGGAAGGCAGAGCCAAGTCTGCTGAGCACCTACTACGTTCTGGGCTCACCACATCCTTGCAGCCACCCCTTGAGGCAGACACTGCAAATGCCCCATTTCACAGATGGGGAGACCGAGACTAAGGGGTTCCTCAGCTAGAAGGTGGAGGAGGTGGTGCAGGACCAGCATGGACCCCTCCCCAACCCCACTCCTCCTGGGGTGCGGCCCCCAGATGCCCCCAGGCCTCTTAGGTGGTAGGGTGGGTCTCGCCCACACCTGGCCCTGCTGGATCAGGGCGTCCATGTAGCTCTTCACGGGGCCTCCCCCGGGTGTGGGGGGCCGCCGCGCCTCCAGCTGGGTCCTCAGGATGGCTCGGACTTCCTCTATCTTCCGTAGGACAGGCCGGTGCAGTTGGAGGAGGGTCCCCAGCCAGGGGTAGATGTTGAACAGCTGAAGGCGGAGGGCGAGACAGTGGGCGGGGTTAGGGTGCAGGGCCCACAGCGGGGCCCTCACCCTCCAGCAGGTGTGTCCACCTGTCCAGGTCCCCAGGTGCTGCCCCAGACTCCAGGCAGACATGCTGTGTGGGTGCTGCCCGTGGCCACAAGAGGGCACCAGGCTCCGTGCCCGGGGGCCCCTGGCCCTCCTGGTGGGACCAGCAGCCAGGGGGCTCCCACATAACCTTCTGTCCCAGGTCAGGAAGGGGCAGGTGCCGGACAGGTGGTGGTTTCACCCCTGCAGGTGGCTGTGATCATGCTTGCTCTCCGTCCACCAGAGCGAGCAAGACAGGGGGGTGGTTTGCCTCTCATTAAAGTCCTGAAAACAAAGAATTTGCAAACTTCAGAGCTTCAGCTGACCCCACTGTGACCAGGTTGTCTGAGGGGCCAGCCGGTGCCCGGCATGCAGATGTCCACAGCTCTCCTGGTGCACTATGACCGCTGGGTGTCCCCCAGAGCATTAGTAATCCCTGGATCAAATTACACAGGGCGACTCTGAGGTGAGGAGCTGGCCCTGGGACGGAGGCCTGGAACATTCTGCTCCGACCCCTCTGGCCTCCATCCTCCTGGGACAGCCTGCTTCGGCGAGAAGGCCCAGATCCTCCTGCCCAGAGGCTCCTAGGACCGAAGCATGAGGACAGGAGACTTCTGTGGCCAGCCCCCGCCTCGCACCCGTGACTGCGGGTCTGTAAATACACGCACCACGACCAGATGGATGCGCTTAGTGACCTATCACAGAAATGGTCACAATGGCAAACATTTCATGCTTTGGAAAGAGTGAAATGCACCTGCCCCTGGGAGTTCTGAGAATCAGCAGGGCCAGTTTGCACCATTCATGTGACACTGTGAAGGACCCATGCTGGGTGGAGGGTCCCTGGGTTTAAGGGTGGGGGGGGCAGGGGGATACTGAACCCCATATCCAGGGAAGAGATGCTCAGTCCCCATCCCCACCTCTGAGCAGGTGCATCTGCTACTGATGGGCAGGCGTGGGGGGAGGCAGATGGGCACCCTGCCCTACAGCCCCCTCATTGCCCAGAGGGCATGGGGAAACTGGCCTGGGGTCACATGGCCAATTGGTGTCAGAAACAGGACATGCCTCGGGCCTCCTGGCTCTGAATCCAGTGGGGCTTTTGCAAGGTGGCAGCTCACCTCTCTCGGGCAGGGGCAGTGCTGAGACCACCCCCCACCCCAAGACCGGGAGCAGCCACCTCTCACCTGCAGGCTGGGGGTCCCCAAGAGGACCATGACCTCATCGATAAGGCTCAGCAGGGACACGAACACAGGATCCTGGTATTCGAACCGCCGGCCAAAGAGCAGCGTGAACGTGATGTTGGAGGGGGCCCAGCCCAGCAGGGCCAGGGGGAAAGGCTGGCCTGGAGTGGGAGGGAGACCAGCCTCAGCGGGTGAGGGGGCCCCCACAGGGGGTGCCCCGGCCCCCACTCACCTCCGTAGCAGTCCAGCTGCCCCATGAGGCACCTCAGCTCCTGTAGGACCTTGTCGGCCACGGGCCCCCTCCCCACGCCCAGGCCATGGAGGGTGCGCACAGTGAACTGGCGGGCGGCCCTCCAGCGTGCCCCCGACGAGAAGAAGATGCCTGTAGGTCAGACGAGCCGCCCGTGAGCAACCCCAGGTGATGCAGGCAGGGAGCGAGGTCGGGGGGCCTGGCTGGGGCCTCACCCCACCCCTGGGGCTGGCCTTGGTGAGCTGCACCCACTCTTGGCATGTCATGGTCCCCAGCCATGTGGACACTGTGTCCCTCCCCCAGGAGCCATGCCGGGCACACTCTCGTGCTGCTCAGAGAGGCAGACCCCCCTCCTGGGGTCCGGGGACTCGTACGCTCAGCTGCCCCCCTCCCCACCCTGCGCCGCACACCTACCCCCACCTCCCTGGATGAGCTGGAAGATGGCGATGGGGGGCCGGTCAGCCAGCTCCGGCCCGGTGCCCACCAGGGCGTCCCTCACAGCCTCGTAGCCAGCCAGCACCACCGTCTTCTGACGCCCCAGGTGAACAGTGAACACCGGCCCGTACCGTTCTGAGAGCTGGTGGGCACAGGCAGAAATCAGCCCGCAGCCCCACCCCCAGGTCCCCCGTGAGCACCTGCCCCGGGCTGCAGCTGCACAGGGTGGGCATGGGGCACATTCAGAACCAGGGGCGGCCTAGGCAGGCTCTGTAGAAACTGGGCCAGCGTGGGCGTGCGCGAGCAAAGGCCCAGGAGCCGAAAAGCAGGAGGTGTGTTTGGCAGGAGCCGGGTCCTGCTGGATCCCGCTGAGCCCCCTCCCCATCCATTCCAGGAAGGCAGGGGCTACCACTGGTGCTGGGTGTCACCGTCGTGGTTTTCTTTGCCGGGGAAGCAGCAGAGAGGGCTCCTTGGAACCCCAAGACGAGGAGGCGGGCAGTAGGAGGGGCTGTCTGCGGGGGTGGCCTCTGCTAGAAGCCCAGGGGTCTGCACAGGGAGCCTGTCCCCGCTCAGATGCGCCCCCGCATTGAAGCCCAGATGGACAGGAGCAGGGGGTGCCCAGACCTCACGCGAACCGCCCTGCCCAGTCTGGAGGCCCAGACCCAGACTGCGCGGCAAGGGCTGGCCTCTGACACCTCTGCCTGTGCCCGTTCCCTTCTGTGCCTTCACACATGGGCACACTGAGGCCCGGAGGCAAGAAGTGAACTGCTGTCCATCACTTGCACCGAGGGACGGAGCCAGACCTGTCCACACCCGCTCCACTCCCCGCACGCTGGACGGTGGCCCCCGGGCACGACACCAGGCACAGCCTGAGAACCCTGGCGCCCAGGGTGCTTCCTGCAGCCCCTTCCTCCCCACCCACACGCAGGGCTGGGGGGCCACCAGTAAGCGGCAGCGCTTCTGGGGAAGGAGGGTGCAGTGATGGTGGGAGCCGTGGTTGGGGCAACGTTGGCCGGGCAGACCTTGTGGGGTGGGGGGCCAGGCCTGCACCTCCGTTTTGCCCACTGGGCCGGCCATTCCTGGCTGCAGGGCAGGGCAGCCTGCCCTCAACGTGGGGCCAGGACCGTGCAGCCCCCAGCCCGGGCTGGGAGCAGCCACACCCAGCAGGCGCTCCCTATGCCCCATGCACACTCGAGGGCTAGTCTGGGTTCCTTCCCTCGCGGGACCTCTGCTGTGTGGTACTACTCCCCGGAGCACCTGCCTCCTCCCCTCCGCCTCCCCCAGTCCGGGCTCTTCTGTAGGCGCTCATCAAATGCTGCCTCCTCCAGGAAGCCCTCCTGGCCCCTGCTCCTTAAATGGCCCATCTGCTTCCCTGTAGGGTGGGCTGTCTTTCTCTTCCTCACGGCAGGGTGGGCACTTGGGCCTATTGTGTCCCCTGAGCTGGGGCTGGGGTGCCCAGGACCCGCCTGCCCTGACCTACCTCCATCAGTGACCGGTCCTGCTGGGACACACGCAGCAAGTGCAGGTTTCCGATGAGGGGCAGCGGACGTGGCCCAGGGGGCCAGCGAGGGGCTGGGGAGGGGGTGGGGGTGCAGGCTTGGAGCAGCCCCCAGAGCCCCAGGAGCAGCAGGATCCCCAGGAGCAGCAGGGCCATGAGGACGGCAGGCGGCGAGGCCCCAGCTCCCCACCCTGAGCCTTATAGGCCCCTGGGAAGGCGTGCCTCACCCCCCGCCCCGAGAATGTGGACCGAGCAGTTTGCCGAGGACAGCCAGGCAGCTTAAAGTGACAGGCGTGCGGGGAATGTGGGGTTGCATCTGTGGCAGGGAGCCAGGGGGCCAGGGGCTGTCTGGGGGGCTAGCATCCAGGCCTTGCGCTTGGGGCATCTTCGTCCCTTGCCTTCTGGACAGAACACACCGCGGCGGCCCGTCTGCCCCTCCCGCAGGCCTCTGCCTTCTGCCTGTCTCCCCATCAGAACTGGGGCTCACGGGGCCTTGGGACCTGGGCCCCCCAGCTCTGAGGGGAGCTCCGAGCCTCCCTCAGCAGGGCCCGTGGGGTAGGAGGTCTGCGGAGACTCGGGGATGGCCCGCGACGGTCCACACAGCAAACGCCTCAGATCCCAGGACCCTCCGAGTGTCCCCTGCAGAGTCTCCGACTGCAAGCTTGCCCTGAGTGACAGCCTGCTCCCTGGTGGCTTTTCGAGTGTGGTCACCTGGAGTGGGAGGCCCTGGCCGGTGCAGGGCGGGGCAGGGTGGGCTGGCCGGGTTTACGAGCCCCCGTCTGTCTGTGCTGCACTCCGCTCTCCTCAACCCGGTGCCCTGGCTGGGAGGGGAGGAGGTGCCCCGTGGAAAGGAGCTGCGAGGGGCTGAGGGTGCTGGCATCAGAAGTGGCCGGGCCTGCTCGGCGCCACCTGCCCCAACATGAGGCAGCGGGAACCCCATCCCCGCGTGGGGCCCCTCACCACGGGGCCTGTCTCCTGGAGATGCCGTCCGTGCCCCTACACGAACCCCAGAGCCAAAGCAGCCCGACGGCCCGCACCCCCTCCCAGCCTGCATTTGCACACCTCCTGTGACAGGGTGCTCACTGTCTTGCGGGCAGGCCGTCCCGTTGCACAGCCGTGGGGCCGCAGCGAGGGTGGACGGCTCCCTAACAGCTGTGTCTCCGGGTCATTTAGGCTGAGTGCCAGGTACCAAGGCTGCTACTAGGTGCGTGGGCTGTGGGTGCTCGCCGCCCAGGACAACCCACCTGAATTAATTCAGCGAGCATTTATCGAGCACCTGTGTGCTAGGCTCCGCCGGTAGCTAGGGCTACAGAAACTGGTGGTCAGGGATCCAGAAAGGGCCCCCCAGCCCAGGGGAAGAGACCCACATGGCAGGGGCTTTCCCCTGAAAACACCCCGGGCGCTGTAGCTGAGCGTGCGAGTCCCAGGAAAGGCATTCCGGCAGAGGGCTGTGCGGATCCCGGAGCAGGACCAAGCAAGGTGCTGGGTGGACCGCCGTGGGAAGGAGGGAAGGGGCAGTGCGGCCCGACACGCTGGAGGTGAGAACTTGGGGTGGGGGTTGGGGGTCCATCCTCCTCCTTCAGGTCGGTGAGGCCTGGGCACCTGGGGCCACGCCGGGCATGAGGCCCCCCACCTCGGTGCCGCCGCCGGGCACCTGCGGATCAGCCACGGTCTCCTGCAGGGCGTGGCGGCACAGCTGGAGGGGATTTTCCAGAACCAGTCCTGGCTCAGCCAGTTTCTGGCCTTTTACCTGCAAGACCCTCGAGCTCCTCCTGACAGCCTAGCGGGGGTCACCCCCATTTCTCAGGAGAGGAAGCGGGGCCCAGGTTTGAGGCGCTCGCAGCCCCCCCGGCCTCTGGGTGCGCTGGCGGTGAGGGGGATCAGGGCAGGGCCCCCACAGCACCCACCACTCGCTCTGCGCTGTCCCACCCTGCGGGGCAGGGGTGTGGCAGTGAGGGGCGCAGGCTTGGGAACCAGACCCATCAGGTTAGATGCCCGACCCTGCCCTATGGGCATCTGGACCCTACTGGTGTTTCCTGGAATTTCGTGTGGACAGGGCCAGCAGTGTGTGACTGCAGGACTTTGCACGGGCCCCTGTGCCCCTGGTGACCTCCGACCAGAGCGCCCAGGCGAGGCCAGCTGCAGACCTGGAACTTCTCAGGGCCCGGCCAGCAGGGCTGCCGCTCGGGTCGCTGGAGTCACATCAGGCCCCTGAGGGGCGACCAGGGTTTGGCAGAGAATCTCTCTGGGCACCAGGAGTGTGGAAGGCTCTTCCACATCCAGGCCCTGGAAAGGCGGGGGCGGGAGGGACCCAGCGGAGTGCGGGGGCCCCCCGGGGCTGGTGGTCCTGCAGAGCCGAGCTGCCCTGCCTGTCTCTGGACAGGCCTCGGGCTGGGGCCTCAGGGCACCAGCCTGGCAGGAGAATTTATGCTCGTGAACTCCAGCCTTTTCAGGGTACGGTTCTCTGCAAGTTTTCACCAACTCCTACAGTCATGTGACCACGCCCACGCTCAAGATGTGAAACAGTCCCATCCCCCCGGATTCCCACGCCCCCCGCGGGGAACCCGGCCCCGCGCCCCTGCGCCCCCGGATCCCCACGCCTCCTGCTCGGATCCCGGCCCCGCGCCCCTG